ATATAAATACAGTAAGGTCGTGGATGAATCACAGAAAACCAACCAAAGAAGCATAGAAGTGGATTGTGTTGTGTGTGTGAAAATAAGTAATAGAAAAAAAAAATCAAACAAATTGACAAACCTCATACTGAAGCAGAGAGAAAAATTTCTTACTCATCACAAATTTTTTCCACTAATTTTGGGAGGTTCCACTATCGTGGGTTTTGTTAGAGTTTTAGGAGAGAGCCTTTTTACGGTGTGCAGGTATGCATTTGAATGTGTAAAATGTTTTTATAAGGATAATTTTGGTATTATTTGGAGAAAGAAATTTTTTTTTAAAGGTTTTAAAATTTATAAGTGGAAGTCCAAAGAAATGAAAAATCTAAAATAATTGATAAAAGTGCTAATAACAACACTCTTTATTTAAACTAATATTGATTGATTTGATTTAACATAATGAAAAAGGTGATTAGATTAAATTGACAATTGTGATTTATTCATTAGATAAATCCTAATATATGATCGATCGAGACCTATTTTAAGAAGTAGGTTAAAAAAAATGGTCAAGCTTTTCTCTAGTCCGAGATCGGACTGAACGTGTTGTTGGGCCCGTGGGGGTCCACCACATGTCCTATTTCGATAATCTAAATTGTTCAATGTGTAGAGCTCGTCGAGTATTTTTATCACTGTAAAAAAATCATGTTGATTGGATATCGATAACTACTTGATCGAATCAAATTTCTGTCAACGATAAATATAATTTTCAAAATAAATTGTTGACAAAAATCTGATTCGATCAAGTAGGTATCGATATCCAATCAATGTGATTTTTAATATGAATAAAATATTCAACGAGGTCTACACATTGAACCATTCAAATTATCAAAACAAAATTTGTGGTGGACATCACAAGCCTAACAACATTGTCTAGTCTACAAAGTGGACTAGAAACAAGCATGTCCCATACCAGAAGAGGCCTAAAATTACAAAATTAATAGGAAGGAATTTATTTATATTTTGTTATGAACGTATTTTTTGTAATTAATCTAATTTTTTCTTTAATTCCTAAAAATAAAATTATGGCATATGTGTTTGTTATTAAGAACTTAGAATATACTAACGTAATAAATAAATAAGTCACTTTAAAATAATTAAAATGTACTTTATTCTATATCATTTTTCAACTATATTTTTAACACATATTATGTTATTGTTTAATTTGAAATTAATTTTTTATTATTAATTTAATTGTGCATACTATGGCTTTATATATTATATATATATATATATATATATATATATGTAAAAGTCAATTTTTAAGTATTATATTAACACTTATAAAAATTAGCCTCCTCACCCATTACAAAATATAAATACTTGTCCCTTTAATCCAACTCCTTTAAAAAAATCATGCCAACCAATTAGGCATACTATGGATATTATGCCAGTTTGATTAATGAAAAAGTCGTGCATGAGTTGCCAAAGAAACAGGTAAAAGGTGTTGAAAAAATATTCTCAGAAAATTTATTATTATTATTTTTATAATAAAAACAAATAAATAAGAAAATACAATCTGAAAAACACAACATAGAATCAACTTACAAAATCTTTGCAGAAGATTAGAGAAGAATTATGGTCGAGATTAGTGTTTGAACAATAAGTCTGCAACACAAATTCATCATTACCTCTATTATTTGCGATTACTAGACGCCATGTCTCTAACATACCACGCAAATATGTGAGTATAGCAAACCAGACTTGTGCTTGCACTCACAAACTCGAACTCATAGCAAAAATGAAATGCGAATGGACAATAACGAAGAAAGAAATTTCCTAGACTCAATTGGATGATTCAAACCAGAATGGACAGCCTAGTTATAGCGGTGTTGGTGACTGTTCAGAGAGCAGCAGAACAGACGCCACCGAAAATTACAGAGATAGCTGGAAAATCTCAACTGGCTAGAGAGAAGACGCATCTGTTCACAAAAGAATTCAAATTCGAATTCAAAAATTTCCACAAAAAAATTGAAACCAAAATTCAAATAAATACAGTCCAAAAAACATGTGAATCAACCCAACCCACACCTGCGTTTGGCCTGGTTTGGGGCAGGGCGGCCACTTTGGTCCATAAACTCCCCTTGTTACAAAACTTGAATGCAAACTTGAAACTTGCACACACAAGCTCTCATTACTTTCCTACGTGGAACAAGAGAACATACTAGCTTGTAGGAAACTCACCAAATAAACATCATATTCATTAGGCACTCACTTTGGCATTGATTTGTCATTCATCCGTAAATGATTTTAAACACCCGACCACATATTCTAGATCACCACATGGAAACGTTTGCATCACCATGTGTGAAAAAATCAAAAAAGACTTGTGGCGGATCCTACTTAAATTCTAGCTGAAAGTTTCAGAAAAATCCTAGTATAAATTTTTTTCTAACCGAAGGCAACTCAACTTCCTTTGTGGAGCAGGGAGGGAGGTGTAATGATGAGTGACATCCGAAAGAATTTATGGATGCTCTGCGCAGTTTAGCAGAAAATGCTGCCGTGCACATATCAGAAACAAATGAACAATATATTAAACTTACCTATCACAGCATGAGTGTGATAACAAGCAATTAGAGCGTATCTGAGTGCTTTTGTGTCTCAGCAGAATGCTTGAACTTCCATCTCATGAGTTTGATAAATTGCAAACGCTTGTTAATTGAAATAACTAGTATTAAGTAATCTCAAAAACTTTAATATATGTATATATATGTATATTTTTATAAGAAAAAAAAAAAATTCTTAACTTTTGGGATAATCTCATAAATTTGAATTACATAATCTAATACTTCATGTGCTTTGTGACCCTCACTAAATTGCTCATATGAAAAGTCCAATCAATTTGTTATGAATCTATGATATCATTAGAGTAGGTCTACTAAGGGTTAATCCCCTGTAAAGCTCTTGATTAATCCTCCATAGTGGTAAAAAAATTGTATACCCATCATGGCACAATGGTTGGATAGAGTAGAGAAGAAAAGAGTTACAGGACATGAGGAACTTGGAAACAGTCTGTACTACTTCCAGTCAATTTTCCCCTACTACGTTCAAGGTCCGTGTGCACTTGGATGTGATAAAACCAGAGGAGAAGAAAGGTGCATTGGAAAGTTGAATTGGACAGCTTCTGCAACCACAGAGAGAGAGAGAGCTCCAAGCAATGTTCTTTTCAGAATCATAACATGAAATGCAGTGTATGAAACAACAGGCGACAAGTGAGATGGCTCACCAGGACAAGAAAGATAATACCAATGTAAGGTCGAGAAGCATATACAAGTTTGGAACAGGATTAATTTGCCAGGTTATGCCAAGAGCTACAAATGCTATAAAGCTAATAAAAAGGCCCATTTCATAGAAGCAAGCCATTTACCAACATGGTCCCAACTTCCATAACAACATTATGGGCAAACCTTTGGCAACTATTGCCAAAACCTACAGTATATCCTAACATCACTTTAGTGATTCATTATTACTAAGGATTTTATATAACTGGTTCTCCATGTCAGCTAAGTAATTTGGAGTCATGTTTCACAAATAATATGACAAGTGTAACTAGCTCTATCTCTAACTCAGAGACATGCAGAGAAACACGCTCCTCCAGAAATGGTGAACTTTTCTCACCTTGAGAGAATGGACAGAGAACTCAAGTGCCCCATCTGGTAATCTCCATGGAAAAACACACATATTTCTACACTCATAGACATGCGCATGTATATCTATGTATTCGAGTCTAATTTTTAACACCTGAACATGCAAGCATATAATATATCTATATACATATATACAAGAACAAGGAAGACGACAATGAGTAGAAAGCATCTGATAGTTCTGAATCAAATTATTGTTACAAATTTAACATTTTATTAGTGTTACTCTATTAATTAATAAAAGTCATTAAGAGAATGATTTTTTTTTTTTTCATTTTGCAGGAAGAAGACATATATTATTCATACTCGATTTTCCTCATCAATTCGGTCCAGTTGACAGAGGATGGGGTAGAAGGGAGGAAGAAAGTGGGTTTGGGGTTGAGTTCTCTAACTTCGTAGAAGAAGAATGTGATGTATCGCTGTTAGTAGAAAAGGGATTCCAGATAAAAAATTAGGGTTGAGTTGATTGAGAGGAAATGGAAAATTAGGGTTATATAGTGGTGGAAGTGGCAGCTGGACCTTGCAATGGATGAAGGTCGTGGGGTAAAGGGAAGGAAGGTGGGTTTGGGTCAAACTCTCTATCTTCTTTGAAGAACACGGTGATACATTAAGAGAAGCATGAAGTAGAGAAAGAAGAAATTAGATTAGTGTAGGGCCTGTAGGCTTTGGCGTTACACGTATCATATTATTTGTGGAACAGGACTCCATATTACTTAGGTGACATGAAGAACCAGTTAGATAAAGTACCGTCCATTGCTAAGACCACCAAACTACTATATCATGCTTTTACTTCTAACATTCCCTTCCCAGCACTGTCCATCCTACCACTGCCACAATTCCAATATGAAAAAAAAAATCCTTCAAATACCACGATTGCAATTCTACTTTTTCTATTGCTCAAATTTCCGTTTTAAGGGGTTAGAGATTCAAGAATCAACAGCAAATCCCTACACCACAAGCCTCCCATACAATTATCCTATTGTTCAGACACTGTTCCATATATTATTTTTCTCATCGGATACCCTTTATTACCACAATTGAAACAATTCATCAAGTACATTATTATGCTTGTAATTCAAAAGATTAACAAAAAAGTAAATTATATGCACTTTTGTATGTTATTTGAGGACCAAAAAAGGGGGAGCCATGAAAAAATCAGCAAATTCTCTATAATGGATGTACAAAGTTACTTAGGTAAAGAAGAGCATTAGTGTCATAGCAGACATCTAGATAATATTGAACAAATTATTAAAGCAAAAAGAAAAAAAATAGCAAAATAAGAATTTGCTGTGCCAATTCCGTATACAAGTAGGTATTTATTAGTCATTGCCTGTGCAGGGAATGCTCATGAATCAACCTTAAGCGGCGAGCCAACAAATCCAACTCCGCAACTCTTTGTTCCCTCCACCGCTTCTCAAAGTCATCCTTGGAAGAACCAGCTTGAGTTCCTGACCCATGATGCCGAACAAGAGCCATCTTAACCTCTTTGAGACACTGATCAAACACATTGATCACAGTCTTCGCCACAACCTGTCGCAACCCAGTTTCCGAATCACACCTACCACCATCGCCACCTCCTCCAGAACCACTCGACATTGGCAATTCCTGCTCTCGAACACCACCATCAAACTCAACATTGACCTCACTCAATTTAACATCAGAACCTCCAACGAAGACACGATCATCACCACCGTCCTCGTCATTTTGATCATTACCGATACAATTCAAGACGCTGTGATCGTTCAATTCGTAGGTTATTGGTTGATTAGAAGCGGGAATTAAAGCTGAGGGCAGTGTTGGTGAGAACCTAACTTTAACCCTAACCAAATTCGACTTCTTTTGCTTATTACTGGCACCGAATGGCGACGTAGACGAGAACTCCGGGTGCCATAACTGCTTCGACAGATAAAACAACGCTCGATCGTGCGGCGAAAGCAGGGCCTTGTCGAGCCCCCGCGCGAGGCGCGAGGAGATCACCCGGAACTTCTTCCTCAGCCGACGGAGCTTCTCGGAGAGCTGAGATTTGGTGTAGGGTTGCGACATCGTATCGGAGAAAGTTGCGAAGAAGACATTGAGATCTCTCGGAAAAGATAGTCTCTCAGAGGAACAGTCGAGGAGGCCTTGAAGGAACCGAATCTCGTCGGGCTCAGTCCATATCCTGTGGAACTTGAACGGCGGAGGATTCCGATCTGCGCCGCCGACGTCATCGTTGTCATCTCCGCCACTGCCGCCGTCATCGGTGGTGGCGGGTTCGAGTTTGGGGGGTAGAATTGGGGAGAGATTAGGGTTAGGGTTAGGGTTAGGGTTAGAAGAGGAAGAAGAGGTTTCGGGGGTTTTGCGTTTGATGGGAAGCTTAGAAGCAGAGGCTTTAATGGAGAGGTGGTGGGGGTGGTTGTGATTAGGTTGGGAGATGAAGGTAGGGTTTGGGGTGGAGTCCATGGCTATGAAAAAAGGCCTCTGTGTTCGAGTCTCTCTGTTTGTGTTTTGGGACCAACCAGAGTCTACTGTTTCTGTTTATTTAGTTATTACTTTTAGTAGAATTACCACCAACAACAACACCATAAAAAAAAATAAAAAAATAAATAAAAACTAAACTAAATTATACTAAAACTAAGGTTTGATATTTAATTTTTTTAATTATTTTAATTTAAATATTTAATTTTTAAAATAATATCTATTTTAATAATTTATTAGTTAAATGTAATGGAACAATGACATTTAGACATTTTCGTCATTTTTTTTTTTTTTTTTGTGTTGATATTGTTAGATGAGTGGCATACAATTAGAATTGTACAAAATATCATCAAATTCATTTAAATTTCTCAATTTGTACCGATTTGCACATTAATTATGGATTGGTTTGATTCGCAGTTTGAAATTTATAATCTACCCTCGAAATTGTTCGGCCCCATTATTGTCCAATCTGTTAAAATTGCCCAATTCACATCGATCCACACGTTAACTGTGGTTTTGTGCGTATAGCGATCCCGGATTTACCCTCGTTGTATAGTGATCCGGACATGTGTCTGTGGATGTTGGTAGTTGATTATTATCTTGTTTACATCCTTTTTATTTCGTATTTGAGTTGTAGGATGTGTTGGGCAGGTTTGTTACAGGCTGGTTGAGTTTAGAAACCAAAACTAGCTGTCCAGATTTTGACCTGTCCGCTCGAGCGGGGGTTCTGGCGCTCGAGCGGGAATTGCACCCATCCAGTATTTCCTGTGCAGGGTTGGACGCTCGAGCGTGGAGTTGGCCGCTCGAGCGGGGTTGTGTGAGTGTCGCTCGAGCGGGGAGTTGGAAGCTCGAGCGGAGACCTGGTTCTGTAAAAGTTCTAGGAGTGTGTATCCGCCGCTCGAGCGGGATTGTTGACTATCGAGCCGGAGTCTGTGAGTGACGCTCGAGCGGGGTATTTGACGCTCGAGCGGGACGACTGGGTTTAAGTTCCGAATTTTGACTTTTCAATTCACTTTTTTACTTTCTTTTCTCTCTCCTACTTTTCCAAAAACACCATTGTTGAGCCTCTCACTCTAGAACTCTACCTTCTCTCTAGGTTTTGATCTAGTAGGAGTGATTTGCTCATCTTTGGCCTTTACAAAAAGGTTGTTGATCGTCGAGGGCTACATTTTAATCTGAAAATTTCGGGATTTGGAGGACGTTGGGTTTTGTCGTCTTCTCCCTTGGGGCTCCGAATTTTATGTAGGGATATCCTACTCCTCTCTATGGATTTTGTCTTTAAATTTTGGTATTTTGAGATGTTGGGGTTGGTTTGGTAATTTTGTGAAAGTTTGGGGCTTTTGTGTTATTTTACAAAAGTTGGGGTTTTATTTATAATAAACCTAGATGCATGTTTGGTATAGAGAAATGGAATTGATTGCTGAACATTGATGAAAATGGGACCTAAGGGTTGCATGAGATAAGGTTCATGTCTGATCAACCCATATGCTGACAATGGCTTGTCACAAGAGATAAGGTTCATATTGTAGCTGTATGTTTAAAGTTATTGTGAGAGCATTGTCACGTCAACCTTTATGACATGAAAAAAACGTGCTTTAACTGTATAGGAGTTGTCACTTTGACTGGAAAGAACTACGAGGGTTTTAAGAGGGTTTTAAGCAGATTTCAAATCCAC